GAGGACACAAACAAATGGAAGAACATCCCATGCTCATGGATAGGAAAAATCAATATCATGAAAATGGCCATACTGCCCAAGGTAATTTATAGATTCAATGCCATCCCCATCAAACTACCAATGACTTTCTTCACAGAATTGGAAAAAACTACTTTAAAGTTCAAATGGAACCAAAAAAGAGGCTGCATTGCCAAGACAATCCTAAGCCAAAAGAACAAAGATGGAGGCATCACGCTACCTGACTTCAAACTATACTACAAGGCCACAGTAATCAAAACAGCATGGTACTGGTACCAAAACAGAGATATAGACCAATGGAACAGAAAGAGGTCTCGGAAATAACACCACACATCTACAACCATTGAATCTTTGACAAACCTGACAAAAACAAGAAATGGGGAAAGGATTCCCTATTTAAGAAATGGTGCTGGGAAAACTGGCTAACCATATGTAGGAAGCTGAAACTGCATCCCTTCCTTACACCTTACACAAAAATTAATTCAAGATGGATTAAAGACTTAAATGTTAGACCTAAAACCATACAAACCCTAGAAGAAAACCTAGGCAATACCATTCAGGACATAGGCATGGGCAAAGACTTCATGACTAAAACTCCAAAAGCAACGGCAACAATAGCCAAAATAGACAAATGAGATCTAATTAAGCTGAAGAGCTTCTGCAAGGCAAAAGAAAATACCATCAGAGTGAACAGGCAACCTACAAAATGGGAGAAAAGTTTTGCAATCTACCCATCTGACAAAGGGCTAATATCCAAAATCTACAAAGAACTTAAACAAATTTACAAGAAAAAACCAAACAGCCCCATCAAAAAGTGGGCCAAGGGTATGAACAGACACTTCTCAAAAGAAGACAGTCATGCAGCCAACAAACACATGAAAAAATGCTCATCATCAGTGGTCCATCAGAGAAATGCAAATCAAAACCACAATGAGATACCATCTCATGCCAATTAGAATGGCAATCATTAAAAAGTCAGGAAACAAAATTAGCCAGGCATGGTGGTGGGCGCCTGTAGTCCCAGCTACTCGGGGGGCTGAGGCAGAAGAATGGCGTGAACCCAGGAGGCGGAGCCTGCAGTGAGCCCAGATTGCACCACTGCACTCCAGCCTGGGCGACAGAGCAAGACTCTGTCTCAAAAAAAAAAAAAAAAAAAAAAAAAAAGTCAGGAAACAACAGATGCTGGAGAGGATGTGGAGAAATAGGAACACTTTTACACTGCTGGTGGGAGTGTAAATTAGTTCAACCATTGTGGAAGATAGTGTGGCAATTCCTCAAGGATCTAGAACCAGAAATACCAATCCCATTACTGGGTATATACCCAAAGGATTATAAATCATGCTACTACAAAGACACATGCACGTGTATGTTTATTGTGGCACTATTCACAATAGCAAAGACTTTGAACCAACCCAAATGTCCATCAATGATAGACTGGATTAAGAAAATGTGGCACATATACAACATGGGATACTATGCAGCCATAAAAAAGGATGAGTTCATGTCCTTCGTAGGGACATGGATGAAGCTGGAAACCATCATTCTGAGCAAACTATCACAAAGACAGAAAACCAAACACTGCATGTTCTCACTCATAGGTGAGAATTGAACAATGAGAACACTTGGACATGGGGCAGAGAACGTCACACACCAGGGCCTGTCGGGGGGGTGGGGGGCTGGGGGAGGGATAGCATTAGGAGAAATACCTAATGTAAATGATGAGTTGACGGGTGCAGCAAACCAACATGGCACATGCATACCTATGTATCCAACCCGCACATTGTGCACACGTACCCTAGAACTTAAAGTATAAAAAAAAGAAAAAGAAAAGAAAAAAAAAATTGTTCACCTTTTACCAAAGTGTTGGGATTATAGGTGTGAGCAACCACGTCTGGTCCTTTTTTTCTTTTTTTAATTGAGGTGAAATTCACATAAATTTGACCATTTTAAAGTGAACAGTCAGTGGCATTCAGTAAATTCACAATGCTGTGCAAACAGGATCTCTGCGTAGTTCCAAAACATTTTCATCACCTCAAAACGAAACCTTGTACCCATGAAGCAGCCACTTCCCATTTTCCCCTCACCTTAGCCCCTGGAAATCACCAATTGGCTTTTTTTCTCCACTGATTTACACATTCTGTATATTTCCTATAAACGGAATTGCATAATAGGTGACCTGTGTCTGGCTTCTTCCACTTAACCTAATGCTTTTGAGATTCAGCCGTATGGTGCCATGGATCAGCTGTGTTCCTTTTCATGACTAATACTCCACTGTACGCCCCCACCACAGTCTGTGTATTCATTCATTAATCTGTGGACACAGGCATCATTTTTAAGCACTTCAAATATGTTAACTCACTGAATCCTCACTACAAAGACAGATTCAGTTACCATATATTGAGAGAGTGAAAACTGAGGCACAGGTAACATGCCTGAGATCACATGGCCATGCAGCAGAATGAGGACTCCAGCAGGCGCAGTCTAGTCCCAAAGCCCTTCCCTTCCTAGTAACCTGAGGCTCTACTGCCTCTCAGAGAACAACCCAAAGAGCACAGCACGAGGGCGAAGCTGTCTGGTCTGTCTGGTGAAGCTTCAAATGCTGTTCATTTCAGATAAAGGGAGGTTCCTGGGCTGCAGAGGCTTTGTAGAGGAGGAAGACCCTGCAAGGTCTAACTCAGGGCAGGTCAGGATGGTGTGAACTCACTCTGAACAGTCACCCATGGGCGTTTATTAAAACTGGCTCTGGAACCCCCACAGGGAAGGTCCTTATCTTTGCCTGCGCAACAGAGAGCGCTCTGGGTAGATTTCTAGACCCAGGCCTCTTTCAAGGATGTTAGAAACCTCAGCAAGATAAACTATTTTCTGTCTGGCTGCATCTGTCTGTTTAGAGAGCGGGACATTTCCATCCTCCTCTCTCCAGGCATCCTTGGAAGCCTTTCCACAAGCAAACATCTTGGTGAAATTTAATGCTGGAGAGGCACGTGGTTTTCAGGAGAGGGGAGTGCGTTCCCGGAACTGTAGTACAAAAGCTAGAGGCTGGGCCGGGCGCGGTGGCTCAAGCCTCTAATCCCAGCACTTTGGGAGGCCGAGGCGGGCGGATCACAAGGTCAGGAGATCGAGACCACGGTGAAACCCCGTCTCTACTAAAAATACAAAAAATTAGCCGGGCGCGGTGGCGGGCGCCTGTGGTCCCAGCTACTCGGGAGGCTGAGGCAGGAGAATGGCGGGAACCCGGGAGGCGGAGCTTGCGGTGAGCCGAGATCGAGCCACTGCACTCCAGCCTGGGCGACAGAGCGAGACTCCGTCTCAAAAAAAAAAAAAAAAAAAAAAAAAAGCTAGAGGCTGAGTAGGGAACATCTTAAACTAAGTCGTCCGTCTTATGTCCAGTTTTCTTCCTGTAGATCAGGGCTCAGGACACCCTGCTGCATTTTCTTCACTCCTCCACCAGGAATTCCTAAAGTCCATGCTCATGGATCCTGGGAAATCCAGGAAGCTGGCGGATGCTGGCAAGCCTCAGCAAGACTGCGTCGGACCAACCCTGCAGCCTTAATTCCCTAGGCCCACTCCGCCCAGCTGACCAGCAAAGGCAGGCAGGGCTTCCGTGTCCACACATGAGAATGACCTGCAGCTCTTTGTCCAGGCTGAGGTAAAGGATTCCCAATGCAGCTCCAGGGGCTGAGGGTAAAAGTCTTTGCAATTCAGCTCCTAGGAAATCTTTAAAATTAGGTCTGGGATGAGTCTGTCAGTAGATTAGGTAAAGAACTTTTATGAAGTTGAGGGTGAACCATCTGGAGGGTGAACTGGCTGGTGTGGTTCTGGAACTGGGGGTGGTGCCTAGCAGCGCATTTGTGAGAAGACACAGCCAGGCTTGGTATATGATGTGGTGTGTGTATATTCACAGGCATCATGGAGCATATACACTTTTTTGTGTGTGTTGAAATAAACCTTACAAAGTACTTTTTTTTGTTTTTTCGGAGACAGGGTCTCTCTGTGTCGCCCAGCCTGGAGCACAGTGGCACAATCATAGCTCACTGCAGCCTTGACCTCCCAAACTCAAGTGATCCTCCCACCTCAGCCTCCCATGTAGCTGGGACTACAAGTGCGTGACACCATGCCTGGCTATTTTATTTTTGTAGAGATGGAATCTTACAATATTGCCCAGGCTGATCTCAAACTCCTGGGCTCAAGCAATCCTCCTGCGTCAGCCTACCAAAGTGCTGGGATTACAGGCATGAGCCACCACGCCCAGCCAGATGACAGAATACTTTGACATCCTTTCTCTGCAGCCCTCAAAAGGAGGCAGGGCAAGCACAATTAAATCCCATTACAAATGGGGCGACTGAAGCTCCATTCATGGCTTGCCCAGGGTCACACACAGAATGAATGGCAGAGCCCTGAGCCTGTGTGCTTCCCTCTGTGCCAGGCTGCTTTACCCGGGCATGGGTGCACCTTGTGCATGGGACATTTCTCCTTTGTTGTGTCCTGAGTACCTTAAGCCACTCAGATATTGCTCAGGTGGAGTGACGGGAAAATGTTTTCAGGTTGCATTAGTCAAAACAAAATACCACACACTGTTGACTTTAAAATCATACATTTATCCCTCACAGTTCTGGAGGCTTGGAAGTCCAAGTTCAAGGTGGCAGTTGGACGGGTTCCTGGTGAGGGCTCTCTTCCTGGTTTGCAGACAGCCACCTTCTCTTTGCATCCTCACTTGGTGGGAAAAGACAGAGGAGAGAAAGAGAGAGAGGAGAGAGAAATCAGAGAGAGAGTGAGAGGGAGAGAGTGAGACAGAGAGACAATGCTCTCTTTTCTTACCAGATCTATAATGAGGGCCCTACCCGACGACCTCATCTAACGCTAATTACCTACCAAAGGCCCATCTCCACATACCGTCACATTACGGGTTAGGGTTTCAACATAAGAATTTGGGGGAAGACATAAACATTCTGTCTACAACAGGAGTGGAGATCCATCTCTTCCTTACCTCTGGTGAGGGGACCACACGCTGCAGCCAGTGAGACAGTGGCATGTTCTGTTACAATTCGATCCAACTCCCTCAGAAGAGGGGGCAGGGAAGGCGGACAAAACTGGGAGAGGGAGAGAGTATTAGGAAGAGAAGAGGGTGGCCAGACGTAGCAAATAAAATATAAAATGCTTAATTTTGAATCTCAGATAAACCACCAATAATACTTTTTAGCATAAGTATGTCCCAAACTAAGCTTGGGACATATTTATGCTAAGAAATTCTTCGTTGTTTATCTAAAATTCAAACTAACTGGGCATCCTGTTTTAATCTGGCCACCCTAAAAGGCAAGGGCCAAAAATGCCGGAGTCAAGCCAACGGATTCCAGGAGGGAAGACTGCTGGACTTTGGACTGATGCTCTTTTTACATACTTAACTGTTTTTAAAAAGCCTCTTTTCTTTCTTTTTACCAGCTTTTCACTAGCTTTTTAAAAACTGGTAAAACATACATAACCTAAAATTCACCGTCTAAACCATTTTTAAGCATGCAGTTCGGTGGGATTAAGTAGATTCACACTGTTGTGCCGCCATCACCACCATTCATTTCCACCACTCTTCCATCACCCCAGCCTGAAACTCGACCCATTGAACACAAGCTGCCCGGCTCCGCCTTGCTTCCCCATTCTTGGCAACCACTGCTCTGTCTCTATGAATTTTGACTATTCTAGGCACCTCACAAAAGTGGACTCATACGATATCTGTACTTCTGCGTCTGGCTTCTCTAGTTAATTCTTAAAGGGGGGTGGGAACCAAGCAGATCACAAGGGAGCTGCCCACAGAGGTAAAGACAAGGTGAGGTATGCTGAGAGACGCAGGAAAGAAGGTCAAGGTGTAGGCTGGAGGGCAGGGGCGGGCCCTGGGCCTGGGCTGGGGGTCCTGCCCCGGGGCGCACCCAGGCCGAGGGATGCCCGGAGGAGCCGAGGCTGGCGGACAGCTTGACCCCGAGCTTGAAGGGAAGGCAGCGAGGGGACAAAGGACGGAGGCCTAGGAAGAGGGTCTGCAGAGCAGAAAGCACGGGTAAGGGCGGCCTGGCGCTCGTAAGACAACAGATGGAGCCGTGTGCACGTCGGGAGCTCGGAGTGCGCGTGAGCTCCGTGCTCAGGCCCACGACTCGGCCCGCTAGGCCAGCGCTCCGGGTCGACGGGGTCCGGGAGCCGCGCTTGGGGAGGGCGCAGCGCAGGGTGAACGGCGGCGTTAGGACCCGGGGGCGCGGGCGGGCTGCGGCCGGCGGGGCTAGGACCCAGCGGCTCCGGCGAAGCGGAAGCGGCGGCGGGAGCTTCCGGGAGGGTGGCGCGTAGGTGAGGAGGCGTCGGGGGCGGCGGGAAGTGGGGTCGTGGGGGATGGCGGGGCGAAGTCGGGGACCGGGAGGGGCTGGAGGGAGGCGGGGGGGAGGACCAGGACCCTTCCTGGCCGAGAAGCCTGCGCCAAGCTTGTGTCCCGCGGCCGCGGCACGGTGCTCGGCTCCACTGCTGACGCCGCCGCTGGGCCCCGACCGCCCGGGAGGCGTCTGGGGCTTGCCCCGGAGCCTCCTCCCTGGAGCCGCGCCCTGCACCCGGCCTTGCCCGGCCCTAGCAGGGAAGCCGAGGCCTGTGGGGCGCAGGGACCCGGGCTCTGCGGGGTCGCGGTTCCGCCTCCCCACTCCTGCGCCTTCCCGCCCGGGCGGGATTCTGGGAAGCCTCGCGCGGCTTTTCCGCAGCTGCCGCCCGCCCGGAGCGCCTGCGCCCTCCTAGGGGACCCCACTTCTCTGACACCGCTTTGGGTTCCCGGGGCCTACAGCGAGGCCTGTAACTCGGGGAGAGACCCTGGAGCGGGGTGTGGGAGAACGGTCTGCAGGAAGGGCTCCGAGCACTCGGAAATTATAAACCGTGGTCCCAAAGAGGCGTGCGGTGTCTGCATTTTCCTGGGAGTGCGCAGTTTACACTACATTCTGTAAAGCAGTGCTGTCCACTAGAAATACTGTGCGATACACATGTACAAGTTTTGTCGCTTAAAAAGAATTTGAAAAAAACTTGATGAACATGGCATAGATGCAAGAAAAACACCATTATTATAGAATACGCATTCATGGAACGCATTGAAGAGTTGTTAACAAGATGGATAGGCAGGAAATACCGCAGACCTAGAATAAATTGCAATTACCCACTGTGGAACTGAGGAGCCAGGGTTTCTCATTATTAAACTCCCTGATAGAAGACGACTTTTGATAAAATTTTTCTTTTTGCCCCAACAAAATCAAGTGTGTGGTGAAGACAAACAGTTGGGGTGATGTATACTAAAGTAAGGAAAGTGTTGACCACACACTAGGGGCTGGTTAGTGTTAGATTCCCTTGTTCTTCCCTCTATCAAAAACAGATCTAATTTAGGTTTATAAAGACAAAGTATCAAGGTAAGGTGACTTACAGTTGGTAGTACTAACAAAGTTTTCGAACTAAGATTTGCATTATTAATGCATAAGAACAAAAAATAAATAACAAAAAGCTTGGAATTCAGACAACATCCAAGTCTGGGCTTTATCTCAAGCTAGTGTTTTGGTGTTGAAAAAAGTGTTATTTGGTCTTTTTAACCCCATTTCCTTATCTGAAATTGGGGATGATGATAAATTCACTGATATTAAGAGTTAAATGAGATTCTTGAGGAGTCAGAATGGTTCTAACATATGTAGGTATTATTAGCAGTCATATTGCAGCATAAGAAAATACCGTCTGCTGAATGAGGGACAATAAAAGTTATCTACATGATCATCATTTAAAAGCTACCAGATACAGGAAGAAGGGGCCATAAAATGATAACGTTATGATCATTAATTTTGATGCTTAGGTCAGAGTCCATTCTAGGATATCTCCTGCCCAAAAAGAGCAGAGACTCATTTCTTTGGAATCAGGACACGAGTGAGAGGACAGAAAAAGAAAAATATTTAAGTCACATATGTGATTTCTAAAAGTAAAAGGAAACAGATGAAATGAGTAATATATTTTTAAATCCAGTATATCCCAAATACGGTTATTTTAGCATGTAATCAATGTAAAATAATAAGAGATTTTACATTCTTTTTTTCTAGTCTTTGAAATTTGGTGCATGTTTTACACTTACAGCACATCTCAATTTGGACTAGCCACATTTCAAGTGCTCAGTGGCTGCATGTGCCTGGTGGCTACCATGTTGGACAGCACAGGTCTAAGCATTTCATTCCTGCCACAAGTTCAAACTCCTAGCTGTAATTTTGAGTGTTTTTAACAAAGTGGCCTCTGTTTATCATTCTTTCTTCTAGTACTTCCCCGAGGGTGATTGTACCCTCAGCACTCAAGACCACTTGCTGTTCCCCTACACACTTTTTGTTCGAGCTGTTTCTTTTACCTGGAATGCTATCTTTGCACCTTCTTCCTGGACCTGGTTCACTCTTGTTGCCTAGGCTGGAGTGCAGTGGTGCGATCTCGGCTCACTGCAACCTCCACCTCCCCAGTTAAAGTGATTCTCCTTCCTCAGCCTCCCGAGTAGCTGGGATTACAGGCATGCACCACCACGCCCGGCTACTTTTGTATTTTTAGTAGAGACGGAGTTTCACCATGTTGCTCAGACTGGTCTGGAACTCCCAACCTCAGGTGATCTGCCTGCCTTAGCCTCCCAAAGTGCTGGGGTTACAGGCGTGAGCCACCGCACCTGACCGAGAGGCACACATTCTGCCAAGAGCATTTTCCTGACTCCAAAAGGGATTTGTCACTCCTTAGCTTTGTACTCATGGCTGAATTAGAGTGAATTTAATTTGAGTTTAGTTGTTTTTGAGACTATCTCCCTGGCTAGTGTAGTGTGTTATTTATCTTTGTTGTGATCATGGCCTGCACCGAATAGATGATCAGTAGATGTTTGCAAACAGAAGGTAAACCACTCATCAGGTATATTCGGTCCTATTCTTGAATGGGCTTGCTGCTTTCCTTTTGAGGAGGTTGTGTATGTACTCTTCTCTCATGCATGTGTGTGAGCAAACACGCATACACTAACAAGGAATTCATCTGAAGATGTGTACAGGAAATATCTTGCATCTTTATTCCCTTTCTGATCTTACCTATGGGAGAACAGAGGCACAGAAATAAGTTAGGACGGCCAGCAAACTTGCATCAGTATAAATACAAAGAAGGGGAGGGAGGAACATTCTTCATAGAGGTGTTGTGGTCTCAGAGGGTTAGGCTTTTCAGTTGGCTGGGTATCAGCTGACCATGCTTTAGTTATTTGATTGGAGGAAAAATAAGTGGGAGGTGAGGAGTAACTCCTGGGCCCTGATGAGTTTTCAAGGCAAGTACAGATCTGGAAAGCCTGTATGCAAAGGAGGAACTCACTGCTGGAGAAAAGCTGAAGAGCAGGATGGTCATCTCAGATCATGAAAAGTACTGGCCTGAGGAAGGCAGGAGGAAGGGCTGGGGAAGCCAGCAGGGGGAGCAAAGGAGTAGGCTCCAGCTGGGTGAAGATGTTGGTGTGGTACGTTGTGTGAAATATGCAAATTATTATTGGGAATAACCACATCTCAGCCGTGCTAGTTCTCAGTCTGGAGAATGGCAAATGGAAAGGATCAGATTCAGAGACTGCAGCTTACTCAAGGTCACAGCATTTTAAACCCAAATGAAACCTCTTAGGCCCTTCATGCCACACTCATCCATCCCTACCTACTTGTATCGCAACCAAGGGCCCCACTGTAGTGCCTAGGAGAGCAGGTCTAGGGCACAGTGCCAGGCCTGATTAATGTCTTCCTTACCATTTTCCAGTGAGGGGCTGTGATTAGTCCTATTTATAGGGGCCTGGTCCCTTAATATGCTGCCTGGCACATCTCTTGCCAATCAAATCAGTACCGTCTGCAGTGTGATTGCTGCTTTAGTGGCACCAGGGAGAGGAGTTAATTAAACCCAATATAAATAGACTCTGCCCTCACTTTGCAATTCCAGAAGTGTTTTTCCTTCCTGTCCTCCACCCCCACATGCACCTCTTTCCTCTTTTAAAAGCTAAGCTCTAGCCTGGGTGAGGAGGGCTGGACACTCTTATACCTAGAGAGTCACTAGCCACTGCCCAGTCTGTTTCAGGAGCAGCCCTCAAATTCCTCAGGGGTTAAAGTGGGAAGAACCCGTGTGTGCACATTTTTTGTGCTTTTCCAGAACTGGGTACCATTTGACAGTTGTTCAGGCAATCTCCCCCACTACCCCATTTCTGCTCCTCTGTTTCTAGCCTCTTTTTTCCTCTGCAACCAAGGTTTCTTTCTTATTTATCCAAGGTGGGGAGCTGAACCGAGACAATGTATGGAAAGGGTGCCTGGCAGGCACCAAGCACCTTGTGGGGGGTCAGAAATGTTGCACCTTCTCTGAACTCCTCCATTGACCCTACAAATTCCCTACTCCCCGATCCTGCCCTTTCCCTCCCTCATTCACTCAACAGGCATCAGCAGAATCCCATCTATGTGCTCCTGGCCTCCCACCAAATGCTGTGTCCTCTCCTCCCCTATCTGTGCAGGCTGAAGCTATGTGCATGGCTGCGATGAGGGCTGTGTTGTCTCAACACCACCCAGCCCTGTGGTGGGTGAGTGCGGGTGGACGTGGGCGGCTCTGATGCTCCGGCTCCCGTCCACAGGCACCATGACTCCTGTGAGGACACAGCACTCCCTGGCAGGTCAGACCTATGCCGTGCCCCTCATCCAGCCCGACCTGCGGCGAGAGGAGGCCGTCCAGCAGATGGCGGATGCCCTGCAGCACCTGCAGAAGGTCTCCGGAGACATCTTCAGCCGGTGGGTGCTGCCATCCACCCCCACCTGATCAGAGGGCCATTCCCATCCTGGGCAGTCCCAGCAACGCACCCTCTGAGAGCAGCCCCCCTGGGGAATCCTGGTCCTGGGGAACCCATCTGGCTTCCCTATGTGGGAGGGGCCTAAGTGAGAGCCCAACCTGGAAGGTTTTGCTCCTGGGAGTCTGAGAGCTCACTCCCTTCCGCCCCACTTAGCCTCCTGGTTTCCTGCGGTGGCTCTGTCCTCACAGCTTATGCTCTTCCTCCCATTGGAGGGCCTATTCCTTCACTTTTTCTTGCAGCCAGCAAATATTTACCCAATAGTGCTTGTGTGCACGGCATTGTGGGAATCTCTGTATATCCAGCCATGGATAAGGCAACACCTCTCCAACTGGAGCGCACATTCTGGCAGGAGAGAAAGACCTAAATAACCAATGCATGATTAGTTATTTAATGATAATTGTGACAAGGTCTATTGATAATATTTTGTAGTCACTAATATTCATATAGCATAAACCATGCACCACCATTGATTGGAGTGCATTTAACTCACACTTTATGAGCAGGCACTGCTGTCATCTCCATTTTATAGATGAGGAAACTGAAGCACAGAAAGGCTGAGAGAGGCCGGGTGCGGTGGCTCAAGCCTGTAATCCCAGCACTTTGGGAGGCCGAGACGGGCGGATCACGAGGTCAGGAGATCGAGACCATCCTGGCTAACACGGTGAAACACCGTCTCTACTAAAAAATACAAAAAAAAAACTAGCTGGGCGAGGTGGCGGGCGCCTGTGGTCCCAGCTACTCGGGAGGCTGAGGCAGGAGAATGGCGTGAACCCGGGAGGCGGAGCTTGCAGTGAGCCAAGATCCGGCCACTGCACTCCAGCCCCGGCGACAGAGCAAGACTCCGTCTCAAAAAAAAAAAAAAAAAAAAAAAGAAAGGCTGAGAGACCTGGCCAAGTGACAGAGCCAGGATTCAAAGCCGTAGATCATGACCCCGGGTTCTGTGGGTTATTACCGCATCTGTTAGGTGGAGATGGGGTGCTGCGAGGTTCATCATGGGAGGCCTGGCTTGGGTTCTGTGGGTTATTACCGCGTCTGTTAGGGGGAGATGGGGTGCTGCAAGGCTCATCATGGGAGGCCTGGCTTGGTCTTGGGTCAGGGAAGGCGGATGTGAGGAAATGACATTTATGGTAAAGTCTGAGGGTTGAGTGGGCAGGTCAGGAAGAACATGCCAGAAAGAAGCACATGAACTACAGCTTTGAGGTGAAGGACCTAAAAGGAAGCCAGCATGGCTGGAGCATGGAGTGGCCATTGAGGGAGCCGAGCTGGAGCGGTGCGGCTTCTTGTATTGGCAGCGCTGACCTGGCACAGTCGTTGGGCTCCAGTGACTTCACTCAGTGTTTATCTAACATGAGTGAGTGAATGGTGTTTGCTCTTTCTTGGCAAAGGTCCCAGGGGTTGTTTTATACACAGGTCCTGTCTTTGGCCATAAGCAGCCTGAAATGAGGCTTGGTCTCCTTCCCAGGATTCCACACTGTGCCTCACATGGTAGACCCCAGTGAGAAGTATGTGACTGCCTGACTCAGGTCCCTCTCGTGGTCCACGTCACCCCTGCTTTGCTCCTTCCCTGGTTGTTGCCAGACCTGGAGCCCCTGCTCCTTCACTGTGCAGCCTCCTCTTCTGTCACCAGCTGGGAACCCACCTCTTCCTGAAAGTCCCCCCTGCACTGACTCACCGGCTTGCCCCAAGCTTGTCAAGAATGTCCCTGTCACCAGGGGCCATGCACTGAAGTGGCTGAGGGGTTACCTTGGAGCTGATGCCTTGGCTCAGACCCGGCTGCCCTGTTTGCTTCCCCTGTAACATTGGGCAACTCAACTCCTCTAAGCCTCAGTGTTCTCCTTTGTGAAGTTGTGGTAATAATGGTAGCTTCCTGGTAGAATTATTGTAAAGATTAAATTAATGAAAACATGCAAAGGAATGGAACAGTGCCTGGCACCTGGAAATGCTGGCTCTTGCCTGTTGATAATCTTGACCCGTACACTGCCTTTGGTCACCATTCATGAACCTGCCACCAGTAGTAACAGAAAGTGCCGGATGCACCTTTTGTGCTTATTGTTGTACTAAATGTGCCCAAGGGATGCCTAGGGAAGAGGATGCAGGTCTTTAAGAGCCATCAGCTCTGGATTATGGCCACCCCATGTCCAGCACTTAGAATGGAGGCCAAAACCATCCCTCAGAAACTGTGTTTCCTCGCCAAGACGGGGACTGCATGGTTGCCCTTCTCTGAGGGCAGCCCTGGATTTTTGCGTCTTTCCTTTCTCGTCCTGGTGTTTGGCACCTTGTAGACAGTTGTATGTCCCCTGCCCGGGGGTGGGATGAGGAGAGGGCAGGAGGGCATTTCCTGGGTAGTGGAGTGCTGCGTTCATTGAGTGCGGGTTCTCCAAGCTGCTGGCACGGCCCAGGGAGGGGCAGATGCCTCTCAGGAGCCTTGGGTCTGAGTCCTGGCTCCCTCACTTCTGGCTTCCAGGTCACTGCATCTGTCTCTCCACCATGTGCTCCACCTCATGCTGGACCTTAGGAGACACAAATTATGTGGCTGACACTGTGTCCTAGAGGCTGGAATGGGAACACAGAGGGCGAGATTGTTAATTGCTAGCGTGAACCGCGTGGGCTTCTCAGGGTCTAGAGTGGAGAGAAATCAGTAAGAATCGGTGGCACACCTGTCAGAACTCCCCAAACCAAGCTAAGCAAAAAGCAACCAATCAGTAGAGCAGCCTTTGGAGTAAAGGCTAAAATGATGTTATCAGGGCCGGGTTTTGCTTTCCTTCCATGTCAGTTTGCTGCTTTGGGTCTGGCTGCATTCCCAGACAGGCTGTGCTCTCGTGGTGGAAAGGTGACATGACACAGGGTCAGTCCAGCAGGAAAGAATGCTCTCCGTGTCCCCACTCCCTCCAGAAGGCACACTCACCCATCCCTCCTGGCTTGGTCCTCGTGTCTGTCCCAGCATCCATTGTTGGGGCCAGGGGACTATGACACGCCACTTGGCTCAGACTGAGGAGCTCTGTGGGCAGCCCCACCTGAAGCTCTGGGACTAAGCCTGTGAGAGAGATGGATTCCATGGGGCCATTGCTTGAGTAAAAAGAACTAGTTGCTGGAGAGGAAAACCACGTTCCTACTCCACATAGGGCAGGCTCCTGGAGGACGGGGCAGGGGGTAGGGAGGTGGCTGTGCAGGTTGCCCTGGTGGGGTCTAGAAATAGGGGCCGCAGGCTTGGCAAGAAGCCTCAGTGTGACTTGGAATGTGGTGTATGGTGGTCTGCGGGGAAGGCCGGCCTGCACAGTGCTGGGAGGGGGTGCTTCTGCATGGGAAGCACAGACAGCGCTGCAGCTCCCTTGCACTCAGCTCTCAGGGCATGAGAGGCTGACTTCCCATGAGCCTGTGGGCCAGGCCTCTTTGAATGGTGCTGAGGGAGCTTTGCCTTGGTTCCTTTGTGTCCCCACGGTGCCATGGGAGGCTCCCTGGCAGGGTGTGGGGCAAGGCAGTGAGTGAAGAGTTGGGATGAGTGGGTTAGGGCCCACGGAGTGCTCAGGACAGGACTTCAGGTTTGATTCAGGAGTGTTAGGGAGCTGTGATTGGATTTTGAGCAGGGCAGGGATGGGACAGAAGACTTTGGGGAAGGTTCATCAGGCATCCGCCATGGAAGGGACAAGAAGGGAGACAGAGTGGATGCCAGGGACACCCAGAAGCTGTTGTCGTAGTCAGGATGTGACAGGGATAAGGCTGCAGACAGGGGACTTGCAAACAGGGAGGGCAGGGTGAGACATTCAGAAGAAACGACGACAGGAAATGGTGACAGATGGGGAACGAGGAGGAAGGAAAGGGAGAGTCAGTGATGACTGGCGATGGAGTGGGGAGCACTGACACGTCCTCCTCCACTTGCCCCTCCTGTGGCACTGGACAAGCATGTGAGCTTTTCATTTTTCGTGGACTTTTTTTGGTGGGGATGTGACCAGCTTTGAATCTCTCCCCTTAAACATGCTCCTCCTGCTTAGAAACCTCCTGCATAGAAGAGACAGGGACGGAGGATAGACTCTCTCCCCACCACCCCGTCTCAGGCCCCAGCACAGCCCGGCCTCTGGACTCACTGGTGTCAGTGCCCAGTGGCGCAGGCAAATTAGCATTCCAGGCTGTGCTCTCTCCTCCTGCTCTGCTGCAGCCAGGAGTGTGCAGAGACTGGAGGAGATGACAAGCACCTCCCAGGCGCTCTTCAGCTGTGTCCTCCAGACCCTCCCTGCCCCCTCTTTCTGCCCCTCCATCTGCCCCCTCTTCACCTGGGAGAAGCCAGGCCCCCAAAATAGCGGTCCAGATATGTCACCTGCTTCCCATGATGTAGAAGACAAGGCAGGAGGGAGTTGGGATGGCACAGGGAAGAGGAAGGAACAGACTATGTGTGGAAGTTTGGATGCTGTCATCTGCCACTGCCCATCAGCCTCTGCCCAACCTCTTCCCCCAAGAGGCAGTGCCACTGCCCAGCACCTTCCCCCTGGGAAGGGTGATTTTCTCTGCAAAGCTCTTGGTCCTTTCCTCCATCTCTTTCTTTTTACTTTTCCCACCTCTTCCTTTCTTCTCCTCTTCCTCCTTTCCCCTTTCCCCTTGTCCACCCTTCCTTCTCCCCTATTCTCTCTACTGATTGGCACCTGGTGGCCCCCAGTGTTACACACTGCACTAGATCGCTGCATAATTACCAAGTCATTCTTAATTATCCCGGAGTGGAGAAGATAAAGGCGAAGGCAGGAGCCCAGGTTCAGGGTCCATTTCCCTGGGGTCGTGACAGAGGCAGGGGAGGAGAAGCAGTGAATCTGGGTCAGAAGTGGGTGCTCCCTGCTTCTTCCTCCCCAGCAGCCTCTAGGGGGACTGGTGTGCTGATGGTGATGGGCCATGATCAGCTCCTTCTTACTTTCACAGTAATCCCGTGATGTAGAAGGGACCATTCCTGTTTTTCAGTGGAAGAAGCTGAGGCAAAGACCAGTTAGTGACTTCCCCGGGGTCATACTGCTGCTAAACAGATGTGAAACCCAGGCCTGTGGGATGTGGTGGTTGTTGATATTCATTTCTCACTTCCCCAGGAGCCCTGAGTCCCTTTGAATGTGGATATGTGTCGTCTGGTTCGTCTTTGACTCCCGCGGCCCCAGCACTGTGCTTGACAAACGAGATGCACTCAAGTTATTGAACAGTCGCGGGTGGAGGGGGGAGAAGGAAAGCAGGGGTGGAGCGGGGAGGAGGAAAGCAGGGGTGGAGGGGGGAGAAGGAAAGCAGGGGTGGAGGGGGGAGAAGGAAAGCAGGGGTGGAGGGGGGAGAAGGAAAGCAGGGTGGAAGGGGGAGAAGGAAAGCAGGGGTGGAGGGGGGAGAAGGAAAGCAGGGGTGGAGGGGGGAGAAGGAAAGCAGGGGTGGAGGGGGGAGAAGGAAAGCAGGGGTGGAGGGGGGAGAAGGAAAGCAGGGGTGGAGGGGGGAGAAGGAAGCAGGGGTGAGGGGGAGAAGGAAAGGGGTGGAGGGGGAGAAGGAAAGCAGGGGTGGAGGGGGAGAAGGAAAGCAGGGGTGGAGGGGGAGAAGGAAAGCAGGGGTGGAGGGGGGAGAAGGAAAGCAGGGGTGGAGGGGGGGGGGGGGGGGGGGGAGAAGGAAAGCAGGGGTGGAGGGGGAGAAGGAAAGCAGGGGTGGAGGGGGGAGAAGGAAAGCAGGGGTGGAGGGGGGAGAAGGAAAGCAGGGGTGGAGGGGGAGAAGGAAAGCAGGGGTGGAGGGGGAGAAGGAAAGCAGGGGTGGAGGGGGAGAAGGAAGCAGGGGTGGAGGGGGGAGAAGGAAAGCAGGGGTGGAGGGGGAGAAGGAAAGCAGGGGTGGAGGGGGGAGAAGGAAAGCAGGGGTGGAGGGGGGAGAAGGAAAGCAGGGGTGGAGGGGGGAGAAGGAAAGCAGGGGTGGAGGGGGGAGAAGGAAAGCAGGGGTGGAGGGGGGAGAAGGAAAGCAGGGGTGGAGGGGGGAGAAGGAAAGGGGTGGAGGGGGGAGAAGGAAAGCAGGGGTGGAGGGGGAGAAGGAAAGCAGGGGTGGAGGGGGAGAAGGAAAGCAAGGGATGCTTGGAGATGGCCCCCTCCAGGGCAGCTGGAGGAAGACGGACCCTTAGGAGACCACGCGCAGAACAGGCTGGGTGAGCCACTTCCATCCCTGATAGCCACAGAGGCAGCTTACTCTGTAGTGCTGGGGGAGCCGTAGGTACGGCTTCAGCACTGAGCTTGTAAACTGACCTGCCTTGAAGTAGGCCACCAAGCCAAAGGTGTCTGGACCAGGAATGACAAACAAATGGCTCTCATGGCACCATCCCCCCACCCGCAGGGTGGACATTGTTCCATGGCCTGGCCCCAGTGAGGCCTACAGGCCTTCCCGACACGGCCTTCCAGACCATCCGGCTAGTCCATGGGGATAGCAGATACGCTGCAAGCTTTCTGATCCTGAGTCTGCATCGTCCTCGGTACTATAGCCTGTGACCATAAGAGAATAGACTACTGGGGGCCTTGTCAACAAGCACAAGTTCCTTAGTCTCATGGACTCTTGGCTAAGGAGAGAGCCCCAGGATCATGTCTCCACCTCCACCTTATCCAGGATTCGCCCTTGGGGCACCCCGGAAGGCGCTTGCGAGCTGCAACCTAATTGCTCTGCAAAGTGATGCAGTTGTTTATTAGAATTTTTTTTAACAGAACAGAGATCTGTTTCCTTGCAACTCTGCCCACTATTCCTGATGTCAGTGTACTCACTTCTCCACCTGACAGCCCTTCTGATATTTTTGATATTCGAAGGGAATGATCATATTCTCAGTCTTCTGATCTTTAGTCAGAACATCCTTCAGTTATCTTCATATGTCGGGAGTTTCTCACTCATCACCATCCTCATCACCCTCCCGGAGATGTTTGCTCATTTGTCACTTTCTGTTCAGCCAGCGGCTCTGACACATCAGGCCCCGTCCCGGGTGCTGGAGACATAGCAGTGAATGAGACAGACTTTGCAGGCTGCAGGCAAGTTCAGAGTCCTCTTACAGTGTGGATTCAGTTTAAAGAGATGTGACTGGCCGAGACTGGTGCCTGGCATGGATTCGTTCATGATTCCAGGACTCTGTTTTCTGTGGTGCCTCTAAGAGAGTGCACGGTCCCTGCTGATTCAAAGAAGGATGAAGGGGCGGAAGAGGGACGGGGAGCTGTGTGCCCTAAGATCGCATTGCCTTTTTATGCTAATTAACATGCTTGTAGCTCCTACTGAGCTTACAGTTAACAGAAGCTTCCAGGTCTTTCTTCACCTGAACTGTGTCTAAACCAAGTTCCCTCCACCTTCTATATTTATGCACTTTTTAAAACCTAGATGTTGGGCTTCACATTTGTTCCTTGTAAATTTCGTCTTGGTGATTGCAGTCTACCCTCTGGCCTTTAAAAATTATCTGAGCCTTGATTCGATCATGCAGACCAGTGTACCCTTCCCCTATGTGCTGGCCCCAGTTTTCTAACCGGGTGTTGAATGAACTGGATGGACTCTGCCAGGTCCCTCCGTGCAAGGCTGGAATCAGTCCATTGTTCAACTGTGCCCTTTGGGGCCATGGTTCATTTGGCTCTGATTTTTCCTGTATGTTCTCTCCTCTAACCCCCATAGCTCCATCTTGTCTACAAGATTTTGTTAGAAGCCGTCAAAATCCGTGCTGACTCAGGATATACTGTGCTGCAAGTTTTCCCCGGGTGCAGCAGGCTCATAACCCTGTTACAGAGAGAAACGCTGTGCATTTCCAGCCGTGCTGGCCCCTGGGACTCACCGCTGCCTTTTCTAAGTGCTTACAGATTCTCTGTTTAATAATCCATTGCAGAAATTTTTTCAGGGCTCATTGTTGGGCTTGGTGTTTGCACCTTTGAGTGATCAGCCCTTCTCTCCTCTGTGGGAGCACCAGGACAGAGCAGCCTTTGTCCCTCCCCAGTCTCAGTTCCCTCCCACTGCCCCTGTGGATCTCGAGTGCAGAGCTTATGCAACTTCTGAAGGTCGTGTCAACACCCGGGGCAGAACGAGGCTGCCTTGGGAACTAGGGTAAATTAAAACAGCTTGTGCTGGAGGACCCTTAACAGCAGATGAAGGCCTCTCCCCAGCCAGAAAAGATGGAGCACACGCTGGGTGGGGCCCCACTTTCTCACTGGAAGGAGATGGTGCTCTTGTTTTTTCTTTCTGAGTTGTGGCCGCCTTCATACCAGTCTGTCATGGAACACTTAAGTTGCTCGGGTGCTTGCTGGTATTCCCAGCCCTGCCATGCCTCAGCGCCCTGCACACGAGGAGCCAGGAGTAATCAGGGCAGACTCATTAGGGTACGGGGACTCCTGGATTGTGAAATTGGCTCTCTGGGGGCCAAGGCCTTCTAAAGTTGGTGGAGGTGGCTTTGGCTTTTAGGGTCTAATTCTAGGCCATTCATTCCAACCTTTAGAGAAATCCCAGCATTCCCTAGCCCAGAGTCTGCAACCCCTCTACCACCCCACATCCTCCTCCTACCTTTCCTCATGAACCCCAGTTGCGCCTCTGCCTTCTCATTCCTGTGCATCACACAGGCTCGTGCGTGCCAGGTGGATGCTGAGGCTGCTCTGAATGTGGAGTGTGGCCCTTGTGGGCAAGGGCTGGGTTTTTGGAGGTAGCGGAGCTACAGGGGCAACTGGGAGGAGGATGTTGTGTTACATACACATCAGAGTTAACTTTGCAGTGAGAGCGGCCTTGCTGTGGCCAAAGAACATGGAAAAGCATGAGTGGGGTTGTGTGCCTCAAAGCATCAGGCATCCGGGCCTCGGGCACCGGGAGCCAGCCACAGGGATGTCTGGGGAAATGGCGCTCCATGAGATGCAAGCGCACAGGAATGCACTTGGTACATCTGGGGGACAGCAGGGCAGCTGGTATCACTGGCCCACCCGCACCAGGGAGGATGGGAGCGGGTGAGGAGCTACACCACACAGAGCCCGTGGGCCGTGGTCGGGACTCAGGGTTTGCTCAGTGAGCCATTCACTGTGCAGGGGCAGTTCCCTGTCTGAATTTAGGTCCAGCCTTGCCAGTCCAGCCTCCGGTCTCGATTCCCCCTCTGCAGAGGCCACTTTGTCTGCTTCACGTGATCATGAGGGGTTGTGAAATGCTTGCCCCATCAGTAGCCATGTGTGCATGTGTAAATACCATCCTCTGTGTGCCCTGGAGGCTGTCCTTCAGATAGCATGTACAGGTGCCAGCATAGGGTCTGTCCCTGCTGAGAGTGCGGGGAACTCAGTACCGTCAGCTCCTCGACCCTGCAGGTCAGATTATCCTTGTAGAGGCCACATGGATGGTACCAAGATGGGCCCTGGCAAGCAGGTGACCGTGACTTAGGAGCCCTTGCCTGAAGGCCTGGCCTGGCAGGCCTGCTGTTAGGAGCAGGAGGTGTGCAGGGGGTGGGGAGCAGCCCCAGCCTCTGTGATCTTCTCCGTGGCAGGATCTCCCAGCGGGTAGAGCAGAGCCGGAGCCAGGTGCAGGCCATTGGAGAGAAGGTCTCCTTGGCCCAGGCCAAGATTGAGAAGATCAAGGGCAGCAAGAAGGCCATCAAGGTAGCCCCCATGCCCCTGTGTCCTAAGGCTACTGGGCAGTCCCTCCATTTCCCCGTACCTCTGAGGCTGCCCAGTCTCTGCCTCGCTGTCCACCTGTACCTTGGACTTTCCTCCTGCCCAGGCCCCCAACCCCACCCTCTCCTGCCAGGCAATCCTAGCCCCCAACCCCATCCTCTCCTGCCAGGCAATCCTAGCCCCCAACCCCACCCTCTCCTGCCAGGCAATCCTAGCCCCCTGAGCCTCTTGGGGCCCCTGACTTGTCCCTGTGTCCACAGGTGTTCTCCAGTGCCAAGTACCCTGCTCCAGAGCGCCTGCAGGAATATGGCTCCATCTTCACAGGCGCCCAGGACCCTGGCCCGCAGAGACGCCCCCGCCACAGGATCCAGAGCAAGCACCGCCCCCTGGATGAGCGAGCCCTGCAGGTCTGCTGGCCACACACATAACATAGCCCGGGTCACACCAGGAGGACTGGGTACTGGGGAGGAGCCGGGGCCACTGTAGGGTTCTGTCCCCCGGAGGAGGCTGACTGGGATGGGGTGGCAGCTGATTAGGCCCAGCAGTAAATATTCACCATCCCTTGGCCATCCTGGCCCTCCCAGGAGAAGCTGAAGTACTTTCCTGTGTGTGTGAGCGCCAAGCTGGAGCCTGAGGACGACACCGAAGAGGGACTTGGGGGTCTTCCCAGCAACATCAGCTCTGTCAGCTCCTTGCTGCTCTTCAACACCACCGAGAACCTGTATGGCCAGAAGGCAGGGCCGAGGGGTGTGGGCGGGAGGCCCAGCCTGGCTTAGTGGGGACCCAGGGCATCAGACACAGGTACAGCACATAGGCCAGGAGCCAGGGGTGACTGGGGTGGCTTGGCTTGGGAGGCCTGGGACCCCACAGTGCACACTGTGCCCCTGATGATGTGGAGAGGTAGGTCAGGAACATGGGCTCAGGACAGCAGGTGTCAGCTTGCCTGACCCCCATGTCACCCCTGTAGGTACAAGAAGTATGTCTTCCTGGACCCCCTGGCTGGTGCTGTAACAAAGACCCATGTGATGCTGGGGGCGGAGACAGAGGAGAAGCTGTTTGATGCCCCCTTGTCCATCAGCAAGAGAGAGCAGCTGGAACAGCAGGTGGGAGGGGCGGGGCAGGGGTGGGGACAGGTGCAGTGGCCAGGGGCCCTGCCAGGGCTCCTCTCCAGGCAAGGCTGTTGAGCCCCTTATTCCACCCATGGGGGGTGCACACAAGGTCTTGTTGGCTGCCCCTGCAGGTCCCTGTCACCACTCACATGTCCCTACCTAATCTTGCAGGTCCCAGAGAACTACTTCTATGTGCCAGACCTGGGCCAGGTGCCTGAGATTGATGTGCCATCCTACCTGCCTGACCTGCCCGGCATTGCCAACGACCTCATGTACAGTGCCGACCTGGGCCCCGGCATTGCCCCCTCTGCCCCTGGCACCATTCCAGAACTGCCCACCTTCCACACTGAGGTAGCTGAGCCTCTCAAGACAGGTGAGCTGGGCTCTGGGATGAGGGCTGGGCTAGGGACCTCCCTGCTCACATACCTTCTTCCCTAGACACCCCACACTTTGTGTTTCAGACCTACAAGATGGGGTACTAACAGCACCCCCACCACCTCCACCGCCCCCACCACCTCCCCCAGCTCCTGAGGTGCTGGCCAGTGCACCCCCACTCCCACCCTCAACCGCGGCCCCTGTAGGCCAAGGCGCCAGGCAGGACAACAGCAGCAGCGCGTCTCCTTCAGGTGGGAGCAGCTCTTTGAGGGCACCTCATTTCTGGTGTGCTCTGTGCACTCAGGTGGATTTTCTGCAGGTTTGTTCAGTGGTCAGAAATCCTCGATTTTTTGAATAGTTCCCATTTCAAATATCTTGTTCTACTTGGTCCATAAAATAGTAGTTTTCAAGCTGTAGAGCTCTGGAATTCTCACCTCTAGTGCGCAGGGAGCCTGAACAAGTGAGGCTCTGGGTTCCCCATTCCTAATTAAACCAATGGAAAGAAGGGGTCTAATAACAAACTACAGCAACACATTTTTCAGTGTCACTGAAATTACAACATTTCAGCTTTACTGTTCTATCTCCCAGTCTATCCCTAGCATCCAGAAGTGGCACAAAGCCCCTCTGCTGGCTCATGTGTGCCGCTGAGACTGTCCAGCTCTGCAGGGTGGGGGCTGGGGAGGGAGCAGGGAGTGTCTCACACAGGATGCCTGTGCTCAGGCCCTACACAGTCTCCAAAGGTCCAGCCTCCCCAACACGGGGCTACACAGTCTCCAAAGGTCCAGCCTCCCCAACACGGGGCTACACAGTCTCCAAAGGTCCAGCCTCCCCAACACGGGGCTACACAGTCTCCAAAGGTCCAGCCTCCCCAACACGGGCTCCTCGTTTGAGGGGAGGTGCCTTCCTCCCAGCAGGCTCTTGGCACAATAAGCTTCCCCAGGCCTGCCTGAGCAGCCTTTTCTCCTTGCCCCGTTCCCCACCTCCCAGCTCCAGTCCAGGGAGCTCCCAAGGAAGTGGTCGACCCCTCTGGTGGCCGGGCCACTCTGCTGGAGTCCATCCGCCAAGCCGGGGGCATCGGCAAGGCCAAACTGCGCAGCGTGAAGGAGCGAAAGCTGGAGAAGAAGAAGCAGAAGGAGCAGGAGCAAGGTGAGCGGGCCCTGGAGCCTGTGGTCGGAGGGCCTTGGGCAAGATGGCCTCCTCTCCTCCAGCCTTGAGTCCACTGGCTGTTTCCTGCCCACCCCCTGCCAGCCCCAGCCCCTGCTTCCCCTAGGGCACAGGCTGGAAGCCCTGGCCCGCCAACAGAGGTCCTCAGCCCTCCCGCCGGGGCCATGGCTCCTTCCTGGTTTGGGAGCCATAGTGGAGCTCTCCTCTGTAAGCGCACCCAGCTCAAACTGTGACAAGGAGAATCTTCTTCGACTGCTGAGTGGTCCGAGGCAATGGTCAGCCCCTGCAGCCTCCTGAGATATTTTTAGAGACTGGACCTGAGGCCTCTTGAGGCTACTGATGATGCCTGCTGCGAACCCAGACACTGGTGTGATGCGATGCCTGTGTGTACGGCAGCAGCGCCCTGGGCACTGTGGTTTTGAGCTTGTACCCAGCGCTGCTTTTGCCTTGCTCTGTGACCCCAGGCAAGCTGCCTCACCTATCTGGGCCAGTTTCCCCATCCGTCAGTGCTGCACACCCTGGTCCTGTCCCTGAGGTGGCTGGGAGAGTGCTTCTCAGACATAAGCACTCTCTCATCAGTGCCTGGTGCTGGCTCAGGGATAGACTGAGGCTCCAAGCTAACTGGGAAGCACGGTGGCCTTGGAGGGCTGGGGAGTGTCACGGGTGGGGACAGGGAGCCACGGGTCGCCTGTGACTGAACTCTTCACCCTAGTCTATGGCTTTCCCGTTGCAGTGAGAGCCACGAGCCAAGGTGGGGACCTGATGTCGGATCTCTTCAACAAGCTGGTCATGAGGCGCAAGGGTAGGAGGCAGGGCCGCTGCCCACCCTGGGCCGGCCCATTGTAATTCTCTCCTGCCTTTTTCTTCCTGTATTTAAGTCTCTGGGGGATGGGGGAACCAGGGTTTCCCACCAACCACCCTCACTCAGCCTTTTCCCTCCAGGCATCTCTGGGAAAGGACCCGGGGCTGGTGAGGGGCCCGGAGGAGCCTTTGCCCGCGTGTCAGACTCCATCCCTCCTCTGCCACCACCGCAGCAGCCACAGGCAGAGGAGGACGAGGATGACTGGGAATCCTAGGGGGCTCCATGACACCTTCCTCCCCCAGACCTAGACTTGGGCTGTTGCTCTGACATGGATACAGCCAGGACAACCCGCTGAGACCTGCTTCCCTGGGAGCGGGTGGTGATGGAACCAGCACTGTGCGGAGACCACCTGCAAGGAGCGGAAGGCTGGCCTGAGGCCACACGGCTGGGGCGGGGGCTTCTGTCCTCCTGTGCTCCACGGGGGGCGGCTCCACCCAGCCTGCACCATTGTGTTCTTCTCTTCTCTAAGGAGGCTTCCAGAGAAAGCAGCACACAAATCAATAAGGAACTGAGCAGAAACCAACAGCGTGCTTTTAATAAAGGACCTCTAGCTGTGCAGGATGCAAACGTCTGGGGGTCAGTGACTTTCCTCCTGCCCCTGTTGGTCCCTAGGCAATGGGGGCAGAAGATCCCAGCTGACCCATTTCTCTGGGGTCAGAGGGAGGAGAGAGGTGCAGTCAGCAGGGGCAGCTGTTGCAGGTGGGAGGAATAGTCTCCCACAGAAAAAAGCTTTCAGTGACAGACACGGGGTCTCTAAAAATAGTCATGCTGAGAGCCTAATGGCCCTTGGCACCATTGCTGGTGTTGGAGTAGAAGGTGTCTTGGAGTTGGCTCAAGTAGTTGAGAGGGAGGGAGGTGCCATCGACTTGGAGGAACTGGCACCAAGCCAGGGAGATACAAATCCAGGCAGGGCTGTGGGGCAGGTTAGGGAGCAGGGCTGCAGGAGTGACTCAGGAAGAAGGTGGGGAAAGTGACAAGCACCCCGGGCGGGAGCCCTGTGGCCATGCGGATCTTTCTAAGTTGAGACTGGAGGGTGAATAGTCCAGGGCAGCTGACTGTAGTTATCATAGAAATGGCAGAAGCAGATGCGTCTGCTCCATCTCGCCTCTGAGAAGGTGGGCAGGACAGAAAAGGCAGCCTCCTGCAGAGGCCAGTGAGAAGCCTGGCCCTCAGCCATGTGGGATGGAAGATAGATTCGATTCCACAGAGGGGAGCTGCCCTGGGAAGACCTCAAGGATGGCCCAGACCTACCATTTCTTCGGGGTCCACTTGCTTTCTCCAGTGGGCACTAATGCTGTGTCTGGGTCCTGGCAGCACTCTGGACTCCACACACTCCTGGGTTTCACCTTTGTAGCACGATCCCTGCAGACCAGGCCCATGACAGACACTGTCTCCAGTGGGCAGAGCAAAGGCGGCGCAGCACCAGGCAGTGGTGCAGTTGCCTGTCAGGAAGAGGCCGACTTCTCCTGGTGAAACTGGGCAGACAGAAGGCAGTGAGAAATGCCATCTCGGGGTGGTGGAGGCTCTCGGGAAAGGAAAAGGCAGGACTGAACTTCCACACAGCAGCAATGGCCGAACCAAAGGTGGCATTGACCTGCACGAGGGCTCAGATCCAGGCTGGCAGCTTGGCCAGGACGGGGCCGGGTGTGTCACTGGTCCAGGAACACTATGCTGGCAGAATCCCTTCGGTGCCTGATGGTCCTGCCTTTGTGGGAACGGAGGCTCAGGCTTTGAGTCACAGCTGCCTCCCCAACAGCACATTTCCATGTCATCTTCCTCCCCTTCCTCAGCCTCAGGTGGGAGACAGGGCAGGCAGCCCCCCTTTCCTCTTCTCCCCTTCTCCAACCCCCGTCTGTCCACCCAGCCAGAGGCAGCCAGGCCTGCTTATGGACCGGTTGGCAGCCTTCATGCGCAGGTTCTCCACCAGCGCCTTTCTTGGGGGCCCCGGGCTGGGGCTCTGAGCTGGGGAGTGCAGGGGATGACGTGCAGGAGGAGAGTGGCACTGAGGCACCTCACTGAGAGTTTGATACCACAGAAAGCTTTCTCTGGGAGAAGTGCAATCCCGTGCCTCAAAGGCACAGCAGTGAGACAGGACAGCAGTACCACCTAGTGGACACCAATGGGCCCACCTGAGCTGACCCTTTCTGACTTGGGGCCCCAGGAGACAACAGGACTGATGGTGCATCTCTCCCCAGGCCCTGTCTCATCCCAACACCTAGGGCACAAGAGGCTGGGGCAGGTGTCCTTACCCGCTTCATGGTGCCTCCCAGGTGGTGCCCCCCAGGCCTTCCTTCACCACTTGGGTAAAGTGCACGGCTGCTCTCCACACAGATGTGAGCTCTGCTGCCCTCTGCCCAGGCCGACCTGGGTATGGGGAAGGGTCTGGAGAGGCGGGGGGAGACCCCTGAGATCCCTCCTCTGGGCATGATTTGTAGGAGGAGAGGAGATCACAGAGAAAAACATCTGCACAGCCTCTGTCATCTCCTTAGTGAAATGAGAGCCCCCATTACTCACACACACGATACCCTTTTTATTTGGCCTTTCCTGACTAGGAAAACTTCTAAACATGGTTTCTTAAACATTTTAGACGGTAACCAGCAGACATAGATATATTTTCTGGTGAGACTCAGTGTACACATACATACATTGACAATCACACAAGTGTTTCAAGACACTGCTTATAATAAAGCTGCCCAGAAGAGGGCACTGTTGGCAAATCTAGGCCTGAGATTTTTGGTCCTTGCTGGAATATTTGGAGTATTTTAGTTGCAGACCTAGATGTGTTAGAAAGTGGTGACATCCATTTGGTCAGCTATGACTGGCTTTTAAAAGAATAGCGCAGTGTAGCACAATACAAACTATCAGTGTGCATCACATGTCACAAAGGTAAGTGCTGTGCTGCGAAACATTTGCTAAATTGATAAAGATGTGAGTATCTAGAGGGTCTCCCTGTGAAACATCTTTATGACTGTGGGTAAAGATGTGAGTATCTAGGGGGTCTTCTTGTGAAATGTCTTTATGACTGTGGGAAGAATTCACAGAAGTTTGAGACACTGTTTTAGAAGCTTCTTGAAACAACTTCAGAGTGAGAACAGCGTTGTAGGTTTTTGAAGAAAGGAAAGGTGTGGCTGGAGGTGGTGGGAGGGAGCACCGAGCCTCCTCACACCAGGGAGTGTGGGGAGAGTGGCAGCCAGGTCAGCACAGCACGCAGCTTCTGGGGGTTCAGTGTTTTCTTCTCAGGAACAGGATGCGAGGAGTAGCAGAGGCAACTCCTTTTCCTCTCACGTAGAAAGAAGACTAGTGAGTAAGGAAAAACATGGAAATATTCAACACCCAGTTCTTAGAGATGGCACCAAAATAATAATTTATAGAAATAAAAACTGATAAAATGGGCTTCATGAAAATGGAGGCCTTTTGCTCTGTGAAGCATCGTATTGAGAGGATGAAAAGACACACTGCAGACCGAGTGAAAATAACCACAACCACATATCCAACAAAGGACTTTTATCTGGAATCTATGAAGAACTCTCAAAACTCAATACATTTTTTAAAAATCCCATGAGAAATGAGACAAAAGACATCGACAGACATTTCACCAAAGTAGCTGAACAGCAAATGTGCACATGTAAATACGGTCAGCACCACTGGCCATTAGAGAAATGCACATTAAAACCACAATGAGCTCTCACTATGCCAGTTAGAATGGGTAAGATAAAAAATAACACCAAGTGCTAGCAGGAAAGCAAGAAAACTGAACATCTCATACATCGCCGGTGTGACTGAAAAATGGTACAGCCACTTTAGAAAAGAATTTGGCAGTTTCTTAAAAAACCAAACATGTACTTCCCATGTGACTCAGTAACTGTATTCTTTGGCATTTACCCCAAAGAATGAAAATTCAGGTTCACAAAAATCTGTACATGCATGTTCCTAAGAGCTTTATTCAGAATAGCCTCACAGTGGAAACCACCCGAACATCTTTCAATGGTGAAGGAGTCAACAAACTCTAGGATATCCATACAAGAGAATACCACCCAGGAGTAAAAAGAAATCAACCACTGATACAGGCCACAACCTGGAGGATCATAACAGCAGGAAACTTGGTGGAAAAGGCCAGCCTTATAAAAGGTTACACACTACACGGTTCCACGTACATAACATCCTCCATATGACAAAACTAGAGATGGAGAACAGAGAACAGATTTGTGGCTGCCAGGGACACAGGGGCAATGTGTGGGGATGTGACTCAAAAGAAGAATGACAAGGGAGGTGAGTTCTACTCAGTGAGGAAACAGTTCTGTGGCAATGGCAGGGGTGGAGATGGTTACAAGATACTACACATGAGATCACCATGCATAGCGCACACACACACACACACACACACACACACACACACACACACACAGTGCATATAAACACCGAAGGCTGCATAAGGTCCATAGTCTGACAAGGTCGGTAGTCTTAACAATAGTCAACCAATGCCAATGCCTGGTTGGATGGTGTCCTGCTGTTCTGTGAGACGGCACTGTTAGGGGAAGCCAAGTGAGTCATCCAAGAGATTCCCTCTACTACTTTTGCAACTACCTGTGAACCCATAATTATATTTAAAAAAGTTAAGAGAACTAGCAGATAGCAACAACATGATTGATTAGAGTCAGACCAATGCCTACCCATAGGGGACTGATCAAATAAACTATAGTCCATCCACACAATGTATGCAGCCATAAAAAATAAGGAATATATTTGCCACCTGGTGTGCACAAGTGATAAAAGCAAGATTCAGAGCACTGGAGAGACTGCACTACCTACTGTGTGAGAAAAAAGGGGAAATCAGAATGTACCAGAAACACATATTTGCTTCTTTCCACAATAAAAATGGCAAGGACAAATCAGAAGCCAGTGAACATGGTTCTCCCTAGGGGTGACTGAGGAGCAGGTTAAGTATAGGGAAAAGAAAGATCAGACTGTTACTGTGTCTATGTAGAAAAGGAAGACATAAGAAACTCCATTTTGATCTGTACCCTGAACAATTGTTTTGCCTTGAGATGCTGTTAATCTGTAACTTTAGCCCCAACCCTGTGCTCACAGAAACGTGTGTTGTATGGAATCAAGGTTTAAGGGATCTAGGGCTGTGCAGGATGTGCCTTGTTAACAATATGTTTACAGGCAGTATGCCTGGTAAAAGTCATCACCATTCTCCATTCTCAATTAACCAGGGGCACAATGCACTGCAGAAAGCTGCAGGCACCTTTGCCCAGGAAAGCTGGGTATCGTCCAAGGTTTCTCCCCACTGAGACAGCCTGAGATATGGCCTCATGGGACGTGAAAGACCTAACCATCCCCCAGCCCGACACCTGTGAAGGGTCTGTGCTGAGAAGGATTAGTAAAAGAGGAAGGCCTCTTGTGATTGGGATAAGAGGAAGGCCTCTGTCTCCTGCATGCCCCTGGGAATGGAATGACTTGGTATAAAACCCGGTTGTACATTCGTTCTATTCTGAGATAGGAGAAGACCGCCCTGTGGCTGGAGGTGAGACATGCTGGCGGCAACGCTGCTGTTATTCTTTACTCCACTGAGATGTCTGGGTGGAGAGATCCCTAAATCTGCCCTATGTGCACATCCAGGCATAGTACCTTCCCTTGAACTTATTTGTGACACAGATTCCTTTGCTCACATGTTTTCTTGCTGACCTCCTCTCCACTATCACCCTGTTCTCCCGCCATATTCCCCTTGCTGAGATAGTGAAAATAGTAATCAATAAATACTGAGGGAACTCAGAGACCGGTACCCGTGCAGGTCCTCCGTATGCTGAGCGCCAGTCTCCTGGGCCCACTGTTCTTTCTGTATACTTTGTCTCTGTGTCTTATTTCTTTTCTGTCTCTCGTACCACCTGACGAGAAATACTCCTGTTGGAGGGGCAGGCCACCCCTTCATCTGGCACCCAGTGTGGGTGCCTTTCTCTAGGGTGAAGGTACACTAAGAATGTGAGAATTGAGGACGAGTCGACGAGAGATTCCCGAGTACGTCCACGGTCAGCCTTGCAGTAAGCTTGTGCACTCGGAGGAACCCAGGGTAACAATGGGACAAACTGAAAGTAAATATGCCTCTTAGCTTCATTAAAATTCTTTTAAGAAGAGGGGGAGTTAGAGCTTCTACAGAAAATCTATGCTATTTAAAACAATAGAACAATTCTGCCCTTGGTTTCCAGAACAGGGAACTTTAGATCTAAAAGATTGGGAAAAAATTGGCAAAGAATTAAAACAAGCAAATAGGGAAGGTAAAATCATCCCACTTACAGTGTAGAATGATTTGGCCATTATTAAAGCAACTTTAGAACCATTTCAACAGAAGATAGCATTTGAGTTTCTGACGCCCCTGAAAGCTGTGTGATAGATTGTGAAGAAGAGTCAGGGACAGAGTTAAAGAAAGGAACGGAAGGTTCACATTGTAAAAATGTAGCAGAATCTGTAATGGCTTGGTCAACGCAAAATGTTGACTACAATCAATTACAGGAGGTAATATATCCTGAATCATCAAAATTGGGGCAAGGAGGCCCAGAATTACTGGGGCCATCACAGCCTAAACCACGATGGCCATCAACTCCTCCTCCTGCAGTTCAGATGCCTATAACATTACAACCTCAAATGCAGGTTAGACAACTGTAAATCCGAGAGTATCAAGTAGAAAAGGATAGAGTATCCTGGCAATGCCAATCCAGACACAGTATCCACAATATCATCCAGTAGAAAATAAGACCCAACTGCCAGTAGTTTATCAATACTGGCCACCTCCGAGGTTCAACACAGACCTCAAGCGGTGTGTCCGGTGCCAAACAGCGCGGTACAATACGAGCAACCCGAGGCGATGGTGTTCAATCCTACAGCACCGCCTAGTGGACAAGGTGGTACACTGCATGAAACCACTGATAAAGCACGGCACCACACCAGCAACCCACAGCGGTGGTGTTTGATCCTACAGCACCACCTAGTGGACAAGGTAGTACACTGCATGAAACCGCTGATAAAGCAGGGCACCATAGCAGCAACCCAGAGCGATTGTGTTTGATCTCACAGCACCACCTAGTGGACAAGGTAGTACACTGCAGGAAACCATTGATAAAGCAGGGCACCACACCAGCAACCCACAGCGGTGGTGTTTGATCCTACAGCACCGCCTAGTGGACAACGTAGTACACTGCATGAAACCATTGATAAAGCAGGGCACCACACCAGTAACCCACAGCGACAGTATTTAATCTGACAGCACGACCTAGTGGCCGAGATAATACACTGCATCAAATCAGTGATAAAGCCACAAAACACGGAGATCTGCAAGCATGGCAGTTCCCGGTAATTAGGATTAGGGTCAGGGACAGGGTCAGGGTCACGGTAGGGTTAAGGGTTTAGGGTTGGGGTTAGGGGTTAGGGGTCAGGGTCAGGGTTAGGGGTTAGGGCTAGGGCTAGGGTTAGGGCTAGGGCTAGGGTTAGGGCTAGGGTTAGGGCTAGGGTTAGGGGGTTAGGGTTAGAGGGTGAGGATTAGGGTTCAGGTTCGGGTTCGAGTTCAGGTTGGGGGTTAGGGTTATGGTTAGGGGTTAGGGTTAGGGTTCGGGTTGGGGTTCGGGTTCGGGTTGGGGTTGGGGTTAGGGTTAGGGGTTAGGGTTCGGGCTAGGGCTAGGGTTAGTGTTAGGGCTAGGGCTAGGGTTAGGGCTAGGGTTAGGGCTTAGGTTTAGGGTTAAGTGTTTAGGATTAGGCTTAGGGTTAGGGGTTAGGGGTTGGGGTTAGGGGTTAGCGGTTAGGGTTAGGGTTGGGTAGGGTTAGGGTTAGAGGGTTAGGGTTAGGGTTAGGGCTAGGGTTAGGGTTAGGGTAGGGGTAGGGTTGGGGGAGGGGTAGGGTGAGGGTGACGGTAGGGTTAGGGTTAGTTTAGGGTTAGGGTTATGGTTAGAGGGTTAGGTTTAGGGTTTGGTGTTAGGGGTTAGGGTTAGGGCTAGGGGTAGGGCTAGTGCTAGGGGTTAGGGGTTGGGGTTAGGGTTAGTGTTAGTTTTGATGTTAGGGTTTAGGGTTAGGGTTTAGGGTTAAGGTTAGGGTTTGGGTTAGGGTTCGGGTTTGGGTTCGGGTTCTGGTTAGGGTTTAAAGTTTGGGTTCGGGTTCGGGTTTAGGGTTCGGGTTCTGGTTTGGGTTATGGTTAGGGTTTAGGGTTAGGTTCGGGTTCGGGTTCGGGTTTGGGTTCGGGTTCAGGTTAGGGTTCGGGTTTGAGGTAGGGTTAGGTTTCGGGTTCGGGTTTGGGTTCGGGTTAGGGTTAGAGGTTAGGGTTAGGGTGCGGGTTCGGGTTAGGGTTAGGGTTAGGGTTTGTGTTAGGGTTTGGATTAGGGTTAGCATTAGGGTTATGGTTATGTTTAGGGTTAGGGTTAGGGGTAGGGTGCCGGTTCGGGTTAGGGTTAGGGGTTAGGGTTAGGAGTTCGGGTTAGGGTTCGGGTTAGGGTTATGGTTAGGGGTTAGGGTTAGGGTTCGTCTTAGGGTTTAGGGTTAGGGTTAGGGTTAGGGCTTAGGGTTAGGATTAGGGTTTAGGGTCAGGGTTAGGGGTTAGGGTTAGGGTTAGGGGTTAGGGGTTAGGGTTAGGGTTTGGGGTTAGGGTTAGGGCTAGGACTAGGGTTAAGGTTATGGTTAGGGTTAGGGTTAGTGTTAGGGTTTAGGGTTAGTGTTAGGGCAGGATTCAGTGTTAGGGTTTAGGGTTAGGGTTAGGATTAGAGTGTTAGGGTTAGGGTTAGGGTGGTTAGGGTTAGCATTACAGAGTTGGGGTTAAAGGTTAAGTTTTAGGGTTAGGGGTTAGGGTTATGGTTGGGTTAGGGTTAGAGTTAGGGGTTAGGGGTTAGGTTTATGGTCAGGATAAGGGTCACGGATTAAGGTTAGGGGTTTGAGTCAGGGTCAGGGTGAGGGTGAGGGTCAGGGTTTAGTGTTAGGGTTAGGGTTAGGGATTAGGGTTTGATTTAGGATTTAGGGATAGGGCTTGTTAGGGTTACCGGTTAGGGTTAGGGTTAGGGTTCGGGTTTTTGGGTTAGGGTTAGGGTTAAGGTTTGTGTTAGGGTTTGGATTTGGGTTAGCATTAGGGTTATGGGTAGTGTTAGGGGTGGGACAGGGCTTCATCCCTGAGCTCACCTGAACAAATACCTGTATGATTGCTTTTCTGCCCTGTGTAAAATGCAGCTTCACTGTGCCACACTAAGGTGTAAGTCACTATTCCTCTACCCCCACTCACAAGTCAATTGTGTATTCACTGAAAGGCTTATGAAAGACTCAAAACAATGCAATCCTTTGTCTCTTGTCCACATATATGCTGGAAGACCCTCACCTTTGTGTTTTCCTGCCTTTCCAGATGGAACTCTGTCTTCGAAAAAGAAACAATCAATCAAAATGTGGTTTTGAGACATTTGGATGTGGGAGTTCTTCTTGCAGGCCAGATGTCATACCCTTGCCTGAGACGGTGGTGGGGCCAGCAAGGAGATGGTGGCCCTCATGCTGCCCCAGTCTCACTCTTACAGACTCACCCCCAATCTGGCCCACGATGCAATGCGACTACAGAGAAGTGGAACATACTCACTTTAGGTACTGCTGATACTCATGCGCATTCTTCCCATGAACAGCATGGACTCTGTTCATTCTTCCCATGAACAGAATTCTTCCCATTGACCAACTGCAGCGTAATGAGGAACCGGATCAGGCTGAGCACAGGGGAGAGTAGTCTGATACTAAAAACAGATGAAAGTAAATTCAAACGTGAGGAATGTTAGTATTTTCCACCTTCATCAGGAAAAAGATGTTTCACCTCATCAACATCCTTAAGTCCCAACTTCTCAAAAAATAATTTTCCTAATCCTCAGAGCCCAATGCCTGCTTCCAGCCCCCAGGCCCCTGGGTGGCAGGAGTGCCCAGTGTAGCCCTTGCTCCTGGCCCATCCTGCACGTCTGCATTCCTTGCTCATCAGTCATCATCTGAGACTCTCAGACATCTGACGGTCTACGTCAGGGCTGCCAGGGGCTCTGCACACTCACGGGGCACCAGGCAGGCCCAGTCTGCACCCAGCAGCCCCCCTGCGCCCTGCCCTCTGACATCTAGGGAGGGACTCTCACTAGAGGAAAACAAATGGCCTCAATACAAAAGCAGGCTCAATGCCACCAGATTAAAGAAATCCCAACTAAAGTAAGATCTTATTATTCCCACGAAACTAGTTGAGACATTTAAAAATATTCTGGTTTTGGAGAGTGGTAATAAGAGAATGACCTTGTCTTATAAACTGCTGGTAAGAGTGTAAATTGAGTAGCACCCTTCTGGAGGGGAGTCCAGTGATATCTATTTAAAGCTTTAAAAACACAGATACCACTCAACCCAAAAG